CGAACATGACGGCAGATAAAAGTCTATCCAAATTTCTATCTTATATGCAGTACAAAGCATTTTATATTTACGATTTTTTGTCAAAACGCTTATTCGAATTTTGATGTATGATTGGAGACCTTGTCAAGATGCACTTTCATTTGCAGACCTTGTATTCTACAAAAACTAGCTTAACCACCTTCTTATCCAGCCAAAGTAATGTTTTCCATAGATACTGGCAGAAATTCCGTAAAAACATTTTAAAATAAATGCTTTCCTTGATTTTCTGATTTGCTGTGGCATCGTTTCTTATGCCCCATTTGTTTATGAATGGTAGAAGTAGTCCTCTCTAAACACAAGTATACAAAACTCCTTAAAGCCTATTTTTGTCACCTAAATTAACAAGTTTACAAAAATGCTAATATTTTCTAACATTTGAAAGCAGTAATAAAAAAAATTAGGTAAGCCTTTTTGTGTTTAATTTATCCGAATTTACTTTCCATATTGTCAGATATGAAAGACTGTTTAGTGTAGGTGGTATTATTATTTTATTTATTTTGTGTTTGTAATTCATCACTGTAGAATCTATCAAACATTTTGTTTGCAATCCATTGTTGTCAAGGCTATGGAGATTTCTAGGAGGCCTAAAGGATAGGCGTATAAATAGGTGCGACCAGACGAGCGGAAGGAGGATAAAAGTAAAGTCATGTGAAAGAGAAGGTCCGTCAGAGAAAAGTTAAAAAACGTAAAGTTAACCGTCGTGGGAGTGAATGGCGTAACGGTTGATATGTTAGAATGAGATTAACAGTTTGAAAGAGATAAGTAGAATAATTAGGGTGCGTGGACTTTGGCAAAAGGCAGACGATTATTAGAAGTACGGAAAGCAAACAATTGTTGGAAGTTTAAAATACAACTGCTGTGACTCAGCGTAAATGAATTATAAATGGATACTATTTCGATAAAAATAGAAAAAAATAGTTCGGCTTGTCAACTGAATTCTAAAGCAATTGTATTGGCCTGAGTAGACTTTGACAAGAAGAAACGAATTGTATAGTGTTTAAGATACACCTATGAGCTCCATAGTGTAAATAATTTTTGTACATATGTTTAACTTGTTCCGAATATATATGTTATTTTAAAAACAAGTGGAGTGAGTGCTGTTTGTTTATTATCGAATTTATCCCCAACAAGTCACAGACATCTACTGTAGAAGAATCTTTAACCCAACACACCCGTATATTTACATCACTATATATGCTACTAAAAAAATTAGTTTGACACATATTATGTTATACAGTTTCTTTATTTTTTTCTCAAGAAGAAACTGAGTTTCGGACTGAACTCACTTTGGGGAAATACGTATAAACTATCATATGTGGATTTAAATGGTTCACCTGATTTGTGTGAAAAATGCTGAATTTGTTTATCCTGAAAACCCGTACTATGCTAAATCTTGTTACAAGGATTTTACAAAGATCAATGATTATTGCCACACAATTGAACCAGTAGCCTGTAAAAGCATTGCACAACCACCAATGTTATTTTTGGTTTTCAGCATTGTGGATTAATCTATAGAATATTAAAAATGCACAGAAGCCCGTAGGAAACATCGATATTTTTATTTTATTTTTTAAATTCAAACCGTTTTTTATTTACCCAACTTAATCGCTGATTGTTATGTCATTTCGCTTACTAGAATTTCTAACGAACTCGGTAGTTCATTTTAGCAAATGAGTTAAAGCATAGTTTTATGTGTTTGTTTGTAGTAAAGCACAAAGCTACACATAGGGCTATCTGTGCTCTACCCACCACGTATCGAAACCCAGTTTCTAGCATTGTAAGTCCGCAGACATACCGCTGTGCCACTGGGGGACTTAAAGCACAGTAAATATGGAAGAAGTATGTGTTTGTTTATGAGAAAAACAAAATAATACATGAAAAAAAGTGCAAGATATAACGTCGTTAATAAGCCTATCTCTTCCAGCGTAGAATCATTTTTTGTCATCATCTTGTTATGTGGCTTAAAAGGAAAAGGCACATGACTTTCCATTGCTGTGGAAGTAAACAAAAAAATCAAAGTTCAGAATAATATTGAGAAACAAAAATTAAATTCTAGAAACAACGTTTAAAGGAAAGAAAAATCATAATAACAGTTTTAAATAAAACCAAAAATATGATTGAGTTAGATATTAAACAAAATAAAAAATGAGTGTCCTCATGGGCTTCCGTATTGAAGAGATATCTTATACATATTGAGAACCGATGTTTGTCCGAGCGTTCGTCTGTCTCTCGTTTGAAAAGCTGCGCTCGCAGGCAAAGCTCAACATTAATTTTTGAAGTGACGGGTGAACAGGCATGAATAATGTTAATGCTAAATTTTATTTCGCAAGCATGATAGTCTACATGAAACTTTTTGGAATTAATCACACTATCAATCACATTTCAAACTATGACGTAACTTAAAGAACCAAAATGTAGATTTACCATATGTTATTGTTCAGCGGCTTTGATATGACTGAAATGCTTAACAATTACTTTCGCGGTGGGCAGTATAAATAACTGAGAGCTTTGGCTCTGAGTGAAACCAAGAGTACAAAACAGTTCACTTTTGTTTTTTTAAAGTTCATGAAATAATTTAAATTGATAGTTTGACAACTTTTTACATCACCGGGGACGGGTAATTTTGCTTTTACTTATATAAAAGTAAAATTGTGCTAAGTATGAAAAGGAGAAAAATAAGATAGATGTAGGAAAGTAAATATATATATGTATATATCAGCTCGTCTAAGCATGAAAAAAGCCATCGAATTTAACAAATATTTGCGAGTTATTTTTAAAAGTATTCTTTGTAAAGCACATTTCCTAGTCTTCATCACTTCAAGTATTACCAGCGGAAAACGAGGTAAGGTTCTTGAAGACAGGTGGACAATTCAGATGTTCCAATTTGAAGTCATGCATGTATCGATTATTTTTATTTGAGGAACAGAAAACAGGTTATTTAAAGAGGAATATAATATGATAAAAAAGAAAGAGTCATAAGATTTTAGTAAAGCAGAAAACAATTAACGGTGTACCTTTATAAGTCTTGGGGCATAAAAATTTTCTGGGTATGTAAATGTGAGAAAACAAATTAGAGGACCTAGATAAATATGAAAATAAAGCATGAATTATAATTGGAAGAATGAACAACTCACGGCATACTAAGAGGACTAATAAGAAATCATAGAAAGTTTATAGAATAAGCACAAGTCATGCGATGTAAGTTAAAAGGAAACACTCGTAGAATACAGATAAAGCAAGAGTTAAAGCATAGTTGGAACAGTAAACAAATCAAAGGATCTCAGAAGAGCGGTAACAAGTCATTGGAAGTAAATGGAATAGGAAATAAATAATGAAATGTGGTTGACGAAGGAAATAATTTACGAAATGTCAATAGGACACGAACAAGTCCAGGGAATACGCCGAGCAGGAAATAAATCATGGGATGGGAACTGGAAACATATCAGTAGAACTACTATTGCGATTTACAATAAGTAGATTAGATAACTAGAAATCGAAAAATTGACTCACAAACTACTTTTAATAAAAAGGCCTACAAGCTGCATAAAACAACTAATACTATCGGTAGGAAATAGTGTAATTAAGTGATAACTATGATGGCTGACGGCGAATAACTTTAGTAACATTTTGTATCATGTCAAATCAAGTCACTCTAAATTTATAAGTGATGTTATTCTTTTAGATACAATTTCCTACTTTGTGATTGCAGAAATAAAAGTTTCTGAACGCAAAAGTTTCTGAGGAACTGGACACTAACTTAAAATGTGTATTAACTTGTATCAGCTTTTCAGAAGACATCGAATAAAACTATTTAACATAAGCTTATGAATTCATTTTTCTCCGATTATTGCATACTTACCTAAAATTTTTATAAGTATAAAGTAAAAATGGACCAGGCGTAGCCCAATCATTAACGTGTCGTGCTGCTGATCGAAAAATCTGGGGTTCGAGGCTGATGCTGCTAAATGCACTCTGCACTTTCAGCTATAGGTGCATTAGAAAAGTGACAGTCAATTACATTATTAGGTTCAAAGAGCCAGAGAAAGCCCTTGTACCGGGTGCTGCTTGGCTTGTTACTTTCCCTATGGTCCGCAGTTCAAAATTAGTAATGGCTATACTTGAAAACTAGAGGTCTTTGACATGGCCGTTAAGCCTACATGTACATAATGTTTCGTTCACTTTAAAGTTTTCATTTTCAATTAAAGTCTGAATTCTTTAGTAAGGTACTTTCATACCTTATTTCTTTCACTTTCGGCCAGGCATGGTCAGGTGATTAAAGCGCTAGATTCGTAATGTGCTCTCCCATTTTAACCGTGGGGGCGTTATAATGGGACGGTCAGTTCCACTAATCGTTGGTAAAAGAGTAGCCCAAGAGTTCCCCCTAGTCTTACACTGATAAATTAGGGACGGCTAACGTAGATAGCCCTCGTGTAGCTTTGCGCGAAATTCAAAACAAATATTTCAGTTTTGTTATCTCTTTCAGCTAATATCAATCTATGTTTGTTTTCTTTCTATTGTACTGGTTATTTATTATAAGCACACTGCTATCGATATATCACTTTATTTGAGATTAATTATTATGACTATAATGCTCTATCAAGCCAGGGAAATAAAATGCAAACTTACCCATAGAATTGACACTGACATTTCTTCTCAGGATTAACGACAAACATTTGTTTTTGTTTTTGCTACTGTATAAAAAGTCACATCTTTAAATCCCATCTAAAGTAGCAAAAAAGGTAAAAATAAATCCAAAATGGAATAATCTGAAAAACAAATTACATTACATTTTTATAGTGCAGTGACAAACCTTTAAGCACGATTTTTTTCACATTCTTTTCTTTCTGTACGAAAGCATCGTTTGAAAAAAATACGTTATCTGAGATCCAACATTCTTTATTACAGCAAAGCTCAAATTACGCGCACTGTTTAATTTGTTTTCTTCTTCTTTTTTCTCCCAGATTCTTCTGACAGACAACGCGCAACAGCATTTCATCCATTATGAAGACTGAAACACAGACACTGACATAGAAGTAGATGTGAGAAAGGGTGTTTCGGCAAAAAGCTAGATTCACATGCATCAGGTAATGGAGTGGAAATATATCACCGTATATGGAAATAGCTTTCTGACAGAAAGAATTGTCATTTTTATCTAATTTTTTCCACTGATTTTTGTTTTGTTTTCTACAGTTAAATCACGTTCTAAAGAAGGCGAATAAGAAATTTAGATTAGGTTTAAGTAAAACTTAGATTAGGTTTAAGTAAAATTTAGATTAGGTTTTAGTAAAATTACTCCTTAAAATTCCACAGAAAAAATACTATCGGAAATATGAAATAATTTTCCAATTTCCTTTGTAAGAAATTGTCGGAAAAGACTTAAATGACCGTGTACCTCATAATTAACTCAGCAAGATATGTATATGTATAAGTATAAATGAAAAACACGTTTTATAAAAACATTTTTCATCAATTTATTTTCTCCAATTGTCTTTATACAGACTGCAAAACACCAGTTTAAAAGCAAAAAGTTTTGTACAAACTATTTAATTTTCAAAAATATGCTATTATTCCTGTATCTTATTATTATATTCGTGATTACAAACACGTGTACATCAGAATGAAGTTAAACATTATTATAATTATGACTCACCAAATGACCTCGTATAATATATATTAATCATTAAAGTAACCTTACTCATCAAATTATTAATTTAGGATTCCAATTTTAATTTCAACTAACTGTGATAAACTGATATAATATACTTATAAATAAAAATATATTTTAAGTGTTAGCCGGAAGTTATAGTCGATATCTAGATAATTAATGGTAATGTAAAACGTAACATGTTAAAATGTTAATATTGCAAGGAAAGATAGCGTATTTCAACAATATCTTCATATATTCGATAAAATATTAACTGAAATTCTAAAATGACCCTGATGATAAATAACAGTACAAAGAATGGATGTAAGATGTTAAGGCCTGAAGCACTCGCGTTTGCTTCTAACTTTGATTTAAAAATTGATTCTATACGTGAAGATTACGAGCAGTGACGTAACCATGTTTTGGTAGTTAGGGGCGGGGGCATATTACTGGGAAACTCCAAAGGTTTCAGTTTTTGATATGAGGCGAATCCCCATAAAAAGCACAATGTGGGAGGAATAATGCAAAGACGATTCTCGTTTTGTTGAGATAACTGCAAACGAAGCTCCTGACCAGTGACTCCCATTATTTTATTTTCTCTACTCTTTTTCTTTTGTGTGTGTGTGTAAATCTCAATAAACAATCTATTCTGCGTGATTGTGCAATGTTTAAAATAGGTATTATATCTTCAAGAGTGGGTTTTACTTCAGTAGACACGTCTTGCTGTTCAAACTTTATCGGTTTTTCCCTAATTTCATTTGTCTGTCCGGATCTGGCATGCTCTAGAGGTTAACCTGCCGGGTTGTGGATCATAACGTCCTAGGTTTAAATCACGACATGACGATGAACGCGCTCCGAACTTCCACCTATGAGGGTGTTATAACTGTAGCAATCAATCAATCTATTCTGTTAATAGTAACCGCGTAGGCAGCGAGTGCTGTTGATTGGTTACTCTCTCTGTGGTCTAAATTAGGGATGGCTGTGCATTAACCTTACAATGCTTAGCACAAGGTAGCGGATGACATTTAGGTTGAAAACACTGTTGTGTATAATGTTATTTATTTTTATTGCTTGGTTCTTGAAATCAAGATAGATAAATACCATCATTTACATCTTCACAAGCTGGCTCCTGCAGTTTTCAAAAAAAAAATCCACGAAATTTAGTTACGTTGTATCTGAGTCGTTATAATCTGTGATTTATGTCTTGGTTATCAAAATATTTCTAACCTTCTTCAGTTACTAGTTGTTTATTTGTTATTTTTTATATGCATAGTTACGAGTACAAGTAAGCAGATTTCTTCTTTAAAAGATTTTCAAAGTATTGCTTGGAAGGTAATACAGAATTGGAACAATAAGGTTGTATAGTTTTATTATAAGCCGTAGTACACCATTTATTAAATGCAATTATAGATAAGATATGACGTAAATAATTATTACATATTTATTTAAGGTACTTTTGTAAAATACCAATTATGCAAACAATCCAAAACATTGGAATAATGTATATATCACGCCAATTGATTTTTCTTTTTACCTGTGTTCTAAGCTCTGTGACTAGAACTATAAAACGATAAGCATAATCTGAAGCCCTAGGTTGTTTTAAAAATGCTAGTAGAATATAAAGTTTAGTATCTAAAGTTTCGTTTAGAAGTCTCGGTGCATACAACAAAATGGTTCATAACCCAAGCTGATCGATTTGGTCACCTATGTATACAAAATGGCAAAGAACGCCATCTGTGAGTTCAAAATAATTATGATATATCGGCAGGGAAAAATGCATATCGATCTGCAGTAGATTTTTGCCGCTTTTTTATGCTTGAATTGTATGTCATTACTAATTGAAGCAAACCACAATACGTGCGTTTACGCAGCACAACCTGGTTCAGTTAAAAATTCACTAATAAAATTGTTTTCTAACAAAATATTTTAGTTTATATTAGTCATCTTTGAGTACACGTTACAAACTGTTCACTAAGGTTTCAGTTCTTCTGAGAAACCTGATGCATAGTTCCTTTAAGCACTTTTACCAGTAGCTATATGGCTTTTTTTCCCTTCTAATTTCCACGCAATATATGCAGCGTAAAACTGTTTTGTAGAAAAATCAAAAACTTTAAATTTTCCAGTTTATAAACTATGGAAATTATTTGTCGATTATTTTAATTCGTCTTGGTAATAAACTGTATGATTTATCAGATGCAAATCTGTGATTTTAGTTGTCGTGAAAGCTTACTTGATTTACTGGAATCTATTAACCTCAAATTTCTCACAAGTAATCTGAAAACATTTAAGTTTGTACTGTTTCGTTATCTTAAAAATAATTTATTTTTTTTTTAGTTTTATCGGGCTACTGAGTACCCAGCAGAGATACGATTGTTTGTTCGTTTATAACTAGTTTGTTTGTTTCTTATAAATTTCGCGCAAAGCTACACGAGGGCTATCTGCGCTAGCCGTACCTAATTTATCAGTGTAAGACTAGAGGGAAGGCAGCTAGTCATCACCACCCACCGCCAACTCTTGGGCTACTCTTTTTATCAACGAATGGTGGGGTTGACCGTCACATTATAACGCCCCCACGGCTGAAAGGGCGAGCATGTTTGATGTGACAGGGATTCGAACACGCGACCCGCAAATTGCGAGTCAAGCGCCCTAACCACCTGGCCATGCCGGACCAAGATGGGGCAGCGGTAAGTTTACGGACTTAGTGTTAAAAACCGGGTTTCGATACCCGTGGTGGGCAGAGCACAGATAGCCCATTGTTTAGCTTTGTGTTTGACCCACCTGTGGACTATAAAAAGCGATAGGAAAAATGTGCACACATTTTTAAATAATAATAAAATTTAGCGACGAAAGAAATACTCTGGACCTTACAGTAAAAAATAGTGTTGACTTACGTAAAGATCGTTGGTAATAACTTGCAAGTATTGCGTCGACAGTAATTGTTTACTGCTATATTTTTAATGGGCTTTCAGTTGTCATGAAAATAATTTTAACTGCCTTATTCTCTTTAAGGTATACTATTGGTTCCTAAGTTTTGTAATTTTAATGTGCAATGCAGCTAGACCACCCCATAACTATGTAATCGCGCGAAAACCAATATCTGCTCCATTTATTTTCAGGAGATTGAGATATGAGTACTTAGAAAAATGCGAGTAATCTAAACGATAAGGTGTGTGTGTGTGTGTGTAATGTGCTTGGACGACAGTTACGCGACAGTCTATTGTCAAGAGGGGATCGATGATCGATAATTCAGATATAGGTGCTGAAACTGGCTTGTTAGCTACTAGCGTGTTACATTTTTTTGATGCGTGTAGCCGAGCCAGTTGGTAATTCTATTGAGGTTACAATTATTGTTATTACCGCCTGTGATAAAAACGTAACATAGCTATTAACTTCTGGGTGAACAGATTTAGAGTACATGCAAAACAATTATAATATGACTGAAAACACTAGCGAGGGAATAAAATTTGAAATAATCTGAACCTTCTCACCCAAAAAACTAAAAACTTTTGATATTTATATATGATAATTCACCTTCTCACCCAAAAAACTAAAAACTTTTGATATTTATATATGATAATTCACCTTCTCACCCAAAAAACTAAAAACTTTTGGTATTTATATATGATAATTCACCTTCTCACCCAAAAAACTAAAGACGTTTGATGTTTATATATGATAATTCACCTTCTCACCCAAAAAACTAAAACTTTTGATATTCATATATGATAATTCACCTTCTCACCCCAAAACCTTAAAACTTTTGATATTTATATATATGATAATTTATATTATTACTACCACAACGTATGTAATTATCTACCTTTAAGCTAGACCTTAGCTAATGACTTTAATATGAGAATCCGAGTATCTATTAAATCTATATTTAAGCATATTTCAATTTTAGTTTATTTGAAATTCGAATCCGGTCTTGAGACTGGCCCAGTGGTTAACATGCTGGACTGTGAATCCGAAGTTCTGTGATTGGTACTCTGTTAGCAGCAAGAAATAAATTAAAATAAAATAAAAATCGCGTTTCTCACGTGGGTGCGTTATAAGAGTGACGATCAAATCCCGATATTCGTTTAGAGTATTTCACGAGATGGCGGTGTGTGGTGTTGGCTAGCTGCCTTCCCTCTTGTCCATCACTTCAAAATAGGAACGGCTAATGCAACTAGTTATCGAGTAGTTTTGAACAAACAAAAGCAAAGACTCAACTTGCTCGAACACAGAAGTAAATCATAAATGTAATGTCATTATTCAACTATAAAGGTCGCATCTCAAAAGATTTTCGTTTGGTTTGTTTTGAATTTCGCGCAGAGTTACACGAGGGATATCTACGCTATCCGTCCGTAATTTAGCAGTGAAAGACTGGAGGGAAGATAGCTGGTCATCACCACTCATTGCCAACTCTTGGGCTACTCTTTTACCAAAAAAAAGTGG